ACCTCTTGTTAAAGCTACCCCCAAAACAGGAAGTGAGTGGAAACCCTTGGATGGCAGTAAAATCTGACAGGGGTTCTAATCCCTTTTACCACTCTGTTCACAACAAAAAAAAAAACGAACATTTTTTTTCGTGACTATAGGCACACTTTAAGCATACAGTAGGCAAAGCACTGTGTGAATTGTCAGCACTATAATATTGCCTATAACAAAAAAAAAAATGAAGAAATGGCTAAAAAGAACAAAAGGCGTTCCCTGAAAAAGCAAAACACTGATGCCATCTAATGGATTCCTTCTGAACAGCAAACATAAATGATAATATTGGTAATGTGACATTACTCACAGAGGGTAGCTGCTCCCAGCACTGTACAACCATGGTTAGATTATAAAAACAGAGCTGTGGATCACAGATAAATAAAATAAAATCTAATATAAGAGGAGGAAGATGCTTTTAGAAGTTATGTGTATATCCAGTTACATCTCTGTCACATTTTCTCATAACATTTATTTTAATCATACTAGAAAGCTTTGTATAGTTCAAGTACATTACAGCTCTGAAAAACAAGTGTTAAAGGAAATCTTAAATGAATAAAACATGGAGGTTAACACTGTGGACATCTGTTTCTGAAAATGCTGGTTGCCTGGCTATCATGTGGCCCCTCTGACATCAACACTCGACTGAATAAATATATAAAGTGGCTAAATGGTTAGCACTTCCACCTGGCAGTACTAGGATCATTGGTTTGAATCCCAACCACAGCACCACCTCCCTGGAGTTTGCATTTTCTCCCTGTGCCTGTGTGGGTTTCCTCCGGGTACTCCGGTTTCCTCCCACACTCCAAAGACATGCTGGTAGGTTAATTGCATCCTGTCTAAATTGGCCCTAGTATGTGAATGCATTAATGTGAGTTAGGGACCTTAGATTGTACACCCCTTAAGGATTAGGGACTGATGTGAATGTACAATATATGTATGTGTAGAGTGCTGCGTAAATTGATGGCGCTATATAAGTACCTGAAATAATAAATAAATAAAGGTTAGAGTCTGGGCACACAGGCTGATGTAGGAAGCTCATGGCACCTTCACAGACCATCATTTTCAAATAAAAAAAAAAAAAAGAAAACATGATATCAGATAAAGCTCAAGGGATCCCCAGCTGTACAGTAGCTCTACTCAAGTGTTGGCGTCATGATCATCATGACATCTATTAACACAGCAGGATGATCTCACTTACATGAATGGTTATAAGAATCACAACAAATCATGGCATGATCACTACATTGGGCTCCAGATGTCAGTCTGATGATATCTGTGCCATATAGATGAGGGTATTGCTGGCAATGTAACCTACTGATACTAAATGCAAATTATTATTATTATTATACAGGATTTATATAGCGCCAACAGTTTGCTCAGCGCTTTACAATATAACGGGAGACCATACAGCAACAATACAGTTCAATACAAGAGGGTTAGGAGGGCCCTGCTCGCTCCCAGGATCAGGTCTTCCTATCCCTCTTGAATTGATCTGTATTGTTGCTGTATTGTCTCCCATTATATTTTACAATGCTGAGCAAACTGTTGGTGCTATATAAATCCTGTATAAATAATAATAGTCCTCGTTTACTCACATTACGGTCATTTGAATATGTTTATTGTTATTATTATTGGGGGAGAGGGGGATTAAGAAAAAGTGTCTGAGTTCTGTCAACTGGTGCTGTTACCCATAGCAACCAGTTAGCCTCCAGCTTTCATTTGTCCCCACACAGCTTAGAAAATTAAAATATTAAAGCCTGAATCTACTTAGATTGACTCCTGTCTAGGTGGCATTCCTCTGCTTCTGTACTTAACAAAAACATTTGTTATAAACAAAGAATGTTAAAAAAAATATTAAAACCCACTGGCAGCTCTCCAGTTTGTCTCAGACACAATTTTATTAATTCCCCCCATTATGCACTGCAGTGACATTGGTGAGTTGCGATGTGTTCTAGGAAAATACAAGGTGTTTGCTTTTTACACAACACACTGCAACTCAACTGAAGGCAGAATTGTGGTGTGAACAGGGCCCTGGGGTTGAGGCTGCGCTGATCTGCACAACTCAAGGTAGTCCAACCGAATTGGTATGAACAAGACCTCACATTCCTAGTACAAAATAAATAAATAAAAGATTTCAGTCTATATATATCATAGTTTTGTAGACGCTATAACTTTTGCGCAAACCATTCAATGTACGCTTATTGGGATTTTGTTTTTACCAAAAACAACAGAACACATATTGGCGAGCAGTAATGGATAAATAATACACAAAATAGCAGGAGCTCTGCCTCAATGTATGTTATATGACATAAAAAACAGGCTTAAATAATGAACACATAACAATAAATTGTGAAATAAAGTCCTTAGGGCTCATGTACACTGCAGCTCCTAGACTGACGTTCAGGAGCTGTTCAGCATTTTTTCAGCAGCCCCTGAAGTCTCCCTAATGTTTTCCTATGTGTCTATGTACACACAGTTGTTTACAGGCAGTTGAGTTTACAGAGGTTTTTTTTTTTTAATGCACCAAACTTGCGCTCAAAAGTAGATTTTACCGGCGTTTCAAACGCCAAATGCTTGTAAACACGGTTAACTGCGTTTAGAAGCATTTGTGTTTAGAAACATTTTTTTAACTGTTCCATATCCAGATGCTGTCCAGAGCCTTTTTTCATCATCATGCATGCATAGTGTTTTCCATGTATTCAAATAGACTTAGTACACCAGCGCAGTCAGTTCCAGGTTTTGCGTGCAGGAAAAAATGGTAGAACGTGCTGCATTATGGTCATGATGGGATCCATAGCGAATACAACCAGAAAAGACAGGTAATCTCAACACATACTGCTCTCTCTGCTTCTGCTCTCTCTATTCCTCTCAAAATGTCTGAAATAGTTAATTTTTTACTATTTTTCAGTGCATTCTGGGCATTTGGGAGGGTCTCCTGAGGTTATCTTTTAAAAAACGCTTCTAAACGCAAACGCACATAAACGCGGTATGCAAACGTGGCTAAACTGAACCTACGTTTTCCAGCAGTCAGTTTCCATCATTCAGAAGAGTTTTCCAAACACCCCATGTACATGAGCCCTAAATGTAAAATCAAGTGAACAAAAAATCCCTTTCGCATCCAGAAGGTGATAAGTCCTCGGAGGCACACCCAGTGGGAGGGCGAAATGCATCAGACATGGATGTGGTGATACTAAGCTTAGGAGCTTTGTGGAATACTAGTGACCTACTATTGTATCTGGAAACATGTGAGTGCAATACCAATGTGTCTGCTTTTATTAATAAAATGGAATTACACTATGTTGGATGCCTCTCTCCATTCCTTACATCTATATATCTATCAGCTCTACATTTGAAGCACTGATAATGACAAGCAACATTTAATCAGGAGGACTACAAGCTCCAGCATGACTTCCTACAACTGAATCACTGGGAATGACAAGCAACATTTAATCACAGAGGACTACAAGCAACATGACTTCCTACAACTGAATCACTGCGAATGACAATCAACGTTTAATCAGGAGGATGACAAGCAACATTTAATCAGGAGGACTACAAGCTCCAGCATGACTTCCTACAACTGAATCACTGGGAATGACAATCAACGTTTAATCAGGAGGATGACAAGCAACATTTAATCAGGAGCACTACAAGCTCCAGCATGACTTCCTACAACTGAATCACTGGGAATGACAATCAACGTTTAATCAGGAGGATGACAAGCAACGTTTAATCAGGAGGACTACAAGCTCCAGCATGACTTCCTACAACTGAATCACTGGGAATGACAAGCAACGTTTAATCAGGAGGACTACAAGCTCCAGCATGACTTCCTACAACTGAATACAAGCTGGGAATGACAATCAACTTTAATCACTGGAGGATGACAAGCAACATTAATCAGGAGGACTACAAGCTCCAGCATGACTTCCTACAACTGAATCACTGGGAATGACAATCAACGTTTAATCAGGAGGATGACAAGCAACATTTAATCAGGAGGACTACAAGCTCCAGCATGACTTCCTACAACTGAATCACTGGGAATGACAAGCAACGTTTAATCAGGAGGACTACAAGCTCCAGCATGACTTCCTACAACTGAATCACTGGGAATGACAATCAACGTTTAATCAGGAGGATGACAAGCAACATTTAATCAGGAGGACTACAAGCTCCAGCATGACTTCCTACAACTGAATCACTGGGAATGACAAGCAACGTTTAATCAGGAGGACTACAAGCTCCAGCATCAGACTTCCTACAACTGAATCACTGGGACTGACAATCAACGTTTAATCACTGGGATGACAAGCAACATTTAATCAGGAGGACTACAAGCTCCAGCATGACTTCCTACAACTGAATCACTGGGAATGACAATCAACGCAGGAGGATGACAAGTTTAATCAGGAGGACTACAAGCTCCAGCATGACTTCCTACAACTGAATCACTGGGAATGACAAGCAACGTTTAATCAGGAGGATGACAAGCAACGTTTAATCAGGAGCACTACAAGCTCCAGCATGACTTCCTATGCCCCAACAAAAGCAACGCCGGTAAAATCTACACAGTACAGGGGATGACCAGAGACTGCGGACGTAGTACAGGGGATGACCAGAGACTGCGGACACAGTACAGGGGATGACCAGAGACTGCAGACAGTACAGGAGATGACCAGAGACCGCGGACACAGTACAGGAGATGACCAGAGATCCCCTGTACTGTGTCCGCAGTCTCTGGTCATCCCCTGTACTATGTCCGCGGTCTCTGGTCATCGCCTGTACTGTGTCCGCAGTCTCTGGTCATCTCCTGTACTATGTCCGCGGTCTCTTGTCATCTCCTGTACTATGTCCGCGGTCTCTGGTCATCTCCTGTACTGTGTCCGCGGTCTCTGGTCATCTCCTGTACTGTGTCCGCGGTCTCTGGTCATCTCCTGTACTGTGTCCGCGGTCTCTTGTCATCTCCTGTACTGTGTCCGCGGTCTCTGGTCATCCCCTGTACTGTGTCCGCTGTCTCTGGTCATCTCCTGTACTGTGTCCGCGGTCTCTGGTCATCCCCTGTACTGTCTGCAGTCTCTGGTCACCTCCTGTACTGTGTCTGCGGTCTCTGGTCATCTCCTGTACTGTCTGCAGTCTCTGGTCATCCCCTGTACTACGTGCGCAGTCTCTGGTCATCTCCTGTACTGTGTCCGCAGTCTCTGGTCATCCCCTGTACTACGTCCGCAGTCTCTGGCCATCTCCTGTACTGTGTCCGCAGTCTCTGGTCATCCCCTGTACTGTGTCTGCAGTTTCTGGCCATCTCCTGTACTGTGTCCGCAGTCTCTGGTCATCTCCTGTACTGTATCCGCAGTCTCTGGTCAACCCCTGTACTGTGTCTGCAGTCTCTGGCCATCCCATGTACTGTGTCTGCAGTCTCTGGCCATCTCCTGTACTGTGTCTGCAGTCTCTGGTCATCTCCTGCACTGTGTCCGCAGTCTCTGGTCATCTCCTGCACTATGTCCGCAGTCTCTGGCCATCCCATGTACTGTGTCTGCAGTCTCTGGTCATCTCCTGTACTGTGTCCGCAGTCTCTGGTCATCCCCTGTACTGTGTCCGCAGTCTCTGGCCATCTCCTGTACTGTGTCCGCAGTCTCTGGCCATCTCCTGTACTGTGTCTGCAGTCCATTGGTTCAGAATATTTTTTTTCTTGTTTTTCTCCTCTAAAACCTAGGCGCGTCTTATGGTCAGGTGCGTCTTATGGAGCGAAAAATACGGTAATTGAAAGTGCTGTTTAGCGCTGACCTCGTATTATATGGTTTTTGGTAAATCTAAAGTAAAATTCTCAAGAAAATTGTATAATGTATGGCCAGCCTTAGGCCTCATGCACACAGTGCATTTGAATTTCTCTTCTGAATGCCTATTATTACTGGTGGTAAGAAGCAGCTTAAGGGTGGCTTGACACTGCCCTGCTGCACTTCTGCTTTAGTGCAGGTTAGCTGCACTTTCCCATAGACTTCTATGAGGTTCTGTATTTTTGGTGCAGTTTTGGCAAGAGCACCAAAACACCTGCATTGCTTTCTGAAACTGCAACAAAAACACAGGACCTCATAGAAGTCTATGGGAAAGTGCAGCTAAACCACATGAAACCCGTGGGTTAGCTACGCCTTTCACAAAGCACAGTAGAGCCGCACTTGGGCAGTGTGAAGCCACCTTAACAACACACGTCTAATGGTGCGTATTGCACATCAAGTGTGCAAGCAGTTATGGATTCCATTGGCATTAATAGTAATGTATTCTGGTCACTGTTACTAATGAATGGATGAGCACTCAAGCACTGCATTTGTCTAGTATTTAGACGCGTTTATGTTCGTCAAGTGTTTTTTTCTGCCCCAAAGCCCTTCTCCAGAATGTGCTGGTGATGGTTTTTTCAGCCTGTAAAAGCTCCTCTTCTAATATGCAGCACAGTGGCTAAATAGTTAGCACTTCTGCCTGGCAGCTCCAGGGTTGTTGGTTTGTATCCTAACCACAGTACCACCTGCCTGGAGTTTGCATGTTCTCCCTGTGCCTGCGTGGGTTTCCTCTAGGTACTCCTGTTTCCTCCCAGACCCCAAAACATGCTGGTAGGTTAATTGGGTCCTGTCTAAATTGGCCCTAGTACGTGTATGTGAGTTAGGGACCTTAGATTGTACGCTCCTTGAGGGTTAGGGACTGATGTGATTGTAATATATATATATGTATATATATATCACTGTGTAAATTGATTGACAGCGCTATATAACCACTTGCCCTCCAGAGGATTTACCCCCCTTCCTGACCAGGCCATTTTTTACGATCCATCAATCAACTTCAGTACAGCCAGTCTGTTGGCTTTTTTACAAGTGATCATTGTGTTCTGCCGCCTGGGAAGGCTCCCCATCAACAGAACACAATAGCGCTGCAAGACAGATTACAAATCGAGGAAATCGAGCAAATTTCTTTCCTTCCATCCGTGGTGGATAGAAAATTTTTTTTATCATCTATGGCAGCAGTGTCAAACCGGCAGCCCTCCAGCTGTTGTGAAACTACAAGTCCCATCATGCCTCTGCCTTTGGGAGTCATGCTTGTAACTGTCAGCCTTGCAATGCCTCATGGGACTTGCAGTTTGGCAACAGCTGGAGGGCCGCCAGTTTGACATCCCTGATCTATGGGCTTCTTTAGGATCTGAATGAGAGTCTAACAGGTCAACAGGCATGTTTTTGTACTTGCAGGGCTGTTAAAAGGATAACGCATGGGGAAATGTGCACTTATTGCAGATATGCACTGCATACTGGACATACACATTTAATGCGGCTTGTGTCCCTGTTGAAATTTTTCTGAAAGATATTAGATGCCGTGTCCCTCAGAAAGGTATACCCATGACCTATAAAGAAGTTACGGGGCAACTCCCCGATGGGGATACAGACACCTATAAAATTCTGAGGTGTCCCCCCTTGGAGGAAATCTCCCTAGCTTCCTATTCTGTATGATACCATCAAACAGACAGAATTGGGGAACAATCATCCAAATGGGATACAGAATACAATAAAACGTTGGCTTTGGTTTGGACCCGTCCACACTCCTTGTAAACCTAATACTCAGTCCCTGGAAGCTAATAACACCTCTCAAATGTGCATTACTCCAATAACCTGACAACTTTCTGCTGCCACATGTCTCTCTACTAACAAGGCACTCTTACTAGAAGTATTGCTGTCTTGCGGTTAACAATACATTATTTTAAGTAACTTGGAAATCAGGAGACAAACTGAAGAATCATCCCATTCAACCCCCTCCTTCTTGCTAGATAATCTGATTTAGGCCCCATTTACACTTTTTTGTTAAATTAACACATGCGTGAGCACAACGCATTAAAGCACATGTTACATATGATGTGGTGTTATACATTCTGGATTGCACTACAACGCACCTACGTTAGTGCATACCATTACAAAAAATGGGTCACACCCAAATTATTTTTAATGGGCTGCCTTAATACAACAGATGCTAACACAAGATATAATGCGAAAAATGTAAATGGGCCCTAAACGTTGCCGTTAAAGTTACTAAGTCAATGCACTTACAAACTTACAGTTGTGTTCAAAATAATAGCAGTCAGACATCACTAAGCTGATCAATCACTGTTTTTGGTAGAAATGATATTTCTACATGGCAAATAATTTACTAGCAGGTGTAGTAGAGTAATAGAAATCCAACAGATCCAACAGTCATGACATGCATGCTGCTGATTCTGTGTAATTGAATCACTAATTGAAAGGGGCATGTTCAAAATAATAGCAGTGTGGAGTTCTATTAGTGAGGTCATTCATTCTTTGAATAACAGGTGGCAATTATTGCCCTTATTTAAGGAAGGAAGGCAGCAAATGTTGTACATGCTGGTTACAGTGCATCTCTCTGAAATTCTGAGGAAAATGGGTCGTTCCAGACATTGTTCAGAAGAACAGCGTACCTTGATTAAAAAGTTGATTGGAGAGGGGAAAACATATAAAGAAGTGCAGAAAATGATAGGCTGCTCAGCTAAAATGATCGCAAATGCTTTAAAATGGCAACCAAAACCTGAAAGACGTGGAAGAAAGCGAAAAACTACCATTCGAATGGATAGAAGAATAGCCAAAATGGCAAGGACTCAGCCAACAATCAGCTCCAGGAAGATCAAAGAAGGTCTAAAGTTACCTGTGAGTACTAATACAATTAGAAGACGCCTATGTGAAGCCAAGCTATCTGCAAGAAGCCCCCGCAAAGTCCCACTGTTGAAAAAAAGACGTGCTGAAGAGGTTACAATTTGCCAAAGAGCACATTGACTGGCCTAAAGAGAAATGGCGCAAAATTTTGGGGACTGATGAAAGTAAGATTGTTCTTTTTGGGTCTAGTGGCCGGAGACAGTTTGTCAGACGACCCCCAAACACACTGAATTCAAGCCACAGTACACTGTGAAGAAAGTGAAGCATGGTTGCACAAGCATCATGATATGGGGATGTTTCTCATACTACGGTGTTGGGCCTATTTATCGCATACCAGGGATCATGGATCAGTTTGAATACATCAGAATACTTGAAGAGGTCATGCTGCCTTATGCTGAAGAGGAAATGCCCTTGAAATGGGTGTTCCAACAAGACAACGACCCCAAACACACCAGTAAACGTGCAACATCTTGGTTCCAGACCAACAAGATTGACGTTATGGAGTGGCCAGCCCAATCCCTGGATCTTAATCCAATAGAAAACTTGTGGGGTGACATAAAAAAATGCAGTTTCTGAGGCAAAACCAAGCAATAGAGAAGAACTGTGGAATGTAGTCCAATCATCCTGGGCTGGAATACCTGTTCACAGGTGCCAGAAGTTGGTTGACTCCATGCAACACAGATGTACAGCAGTTCTCAGAAACAGTGCTTATACAACTAAATATTAATTAAGTGATTCAAAGGAAAGCAAAATCTTCAAACATTTTTCAGTTTATATAGTGAATGTTTGAGTTTGTAAAGAAAAATACAAACACTGCTATTTTTTTGAACAGTCTAATATTCACTTTTCTTCAATATTTTTTAGAGGAACAACACAAATTTGATATATTTTTGTCATGTTTTGATTTGGAATAGAATGTGTAGTGTTCCCAATGCATTTGTGTGTATGGCAATAAAAGCTATTAGGAGGATTTTGCGCTTTATTCACTTTTTTCAACACACTGCTATTATTTTGAACACAACTGTACATACTGGACATACACTTTCAATGTGGTCTGTGTCCCTGTTGAGATTTTTCTGAAAGATATTAGATGCTGTGTCCCCAAAAAAGATATACCTATGACCTATAAAGAAGCTATGGGACAACTCCCCAATGGGGATACAGACACCTATAAAATTCTGTTTGTGTCCCTCATTGGAAGAAATCTCCCTAGCTTCCTATTGTGCATGATGAAAATAAAAAACACAGCGCAAAAAATATTTAAACAAATGAAAAAAATTAAACAAATGAATAAAAAATATAATATAAAAAAATGTCCAAATAAATCTATGTGCAAATAAAAGTCCCAATCCAAAGAATAAAGAAATATTAAAAATCCAATGTGCTCCATAATCAACAAAAGGTGCTGTATGCAGAAAGTTCAGTGTATTAACACCATCCGTGACAACCAATATATACTGCACTCATCAGATATATTGGACTCTCAATAATTAAGAGTCACACTGCACAGCTCAGAAGAAGCTCCAACAGAAGGATTTCCCACACAAATCGATCTGCAGCAAATACAGCATAAAGAAACATAAAGTTCATAGATGGGGTTTACCCCAAAGTTAGCCGAATCTAACTCTGGCTGTTTGGCAGCTCCCAGCAAACGCCTTAATACAACACATGCTAACACAAGATATAATGCAAAAATGTAAATGGGCCCTAAACGTTGCTAAGTCAATGCACTTACAAACTTACATACTGGACATACACCGTCAATGTGGTCTGTGTCCCTGCTGAGATTTTTCTGAAAGATATTAGAGGCTGTGTCCCCAAAAAAGATATACCCATGACCTATAAAGAAGTTATGGGACAACTCCCCAATGGGGATACAGACACCTATAA